TCATTTGCCATTATAAAGACCATAGCTATGAATGTCCTGGACCCCTCCCTGGCCCAGTATAAATTTATTTTTTAAATTAATTTTTAACATTTTTTCTGAACATGGAAGGCATAAATACTCATTAAAGAAAGTTGGAAAGGATAGAACACAATTTTTTTTAATTACTCCCCCCCTCCTCAAGACAACTACTATTATTTAATGGTATACCTTTTTAAATCTCTTTTGCTATGAAATTCTTCATCAATTAGCAGCTATGACTGGATCACTATCATCTCAGCTTCCACTGCTTCCTTCCTGTTATGACTAGTTCACAAATCTCATTTTAATGATTTAACTAGAAAGCACTGCAGGGGAGCAAAATTTGCCACTCCAAACTGTGTCTCTTTGGGGATTATTTTAGGCTGACTATTTTTAAAAAACAGAAGACTCAGGAAGTTTTTCTTTTTCATCTCCCCCTTAACTGCCTACAAGAATTTATATAGAGGGCCTATAGAAGGAAGAGATATCCAACATAAGTACATAGAATATAGGCTAAGTATGATAGACTGTGGGGGGACTTAGCAAGGCCTGCTTGTTCATAGTCCTCTCTGAATCCCATTATCTCTGCATGGCTTGACACATACCAGTATTTGTTAACCAAATAGTTGCTCTTCCCATCCTCCTGTAAAGTGTCTTCCTCCACTTTGAAGTCCCAGGCCCCTAACCTTTTCTCCTTAGCTCAGGATGGCATACAAGCCTTACTTGCCTGACTTATCCCTGGGTCTCATATTCTTATGTGGTTCGTGTATGTACATAATTTTTGTCTCCTCTTAATCTGTCATATGTTATTTCTGCTATTAGACCAAGCAAATATCCTAGAAGGGTAGAAGAATTTTTTTTTCCTCCCTGGCAGTATTAAATGTAAACAATCATTGGGGAATGGAAGTGGGCATGGAGAAAGGTGTTAGTAATAGACAAAAAAAAAAAGGAAGTAGTGAGATTTAAGAAATCTTATTAAGTTCTTGAAATTCATATAAAGTTTAACATATGTTCTATTCTTGGTATTGCCAAAAGAACTCAGTCCAGCAAGTACAGATTCTACTTCACACCTCCACTTGAATCTCTTAAACCCATCATAAAGGGGCATAGAGCATTTTTAACCCCCAATTTTTACCTCTCATCTTCATTTAGCACAAGCTATTGCTATGCCTGCAACCCTTTCTCCAAAGCATCCAGAAATACTCCACTCCACTTGTAATTCACAGGATTGTTATCTTCATTTCTTTGTACTCTGTTTCTCTTCCTCTTTTATTTCCAGACTTAAAATTTCCCAAAAAGCTAGCCGGCCATTACATGAGTCTCTCAAATAATTAGATAAGAGAAGAGAGTGCGGCCCAAAGTGTAGGCAGGGAGAAGCTGTGGATACTCTTATCCCAAAGGTTTTGGTGCCATAGCAACCTTTATGACAGTAAAATCCTGAAATGTTACTTAGAAGACTTGTACCTAGTCCTAGTTTTTGGTGGGAGAAAACTATATATGAAAGAATCATTGCTGGTGCTTGTATCTGAGATATTTTTGTTTATGATAATTTGAATCTCCTACTTCTCCATAAAGTAATTCTGCAAGAGTTTGAAAAAATGAGTTCTACAACCAATGCTGTTGTCATAACCTGGTTATTATTTAACAGGAAAGGAGTGAAAGGGGAGGTCACATAATATAAGGCATGCTTCATACAGCCTTGTCAAAAGCTGCATGTAACACTCTATAAGTCTGTTCCCTGCTATTTGATGGGGGAAGGGACTGGACAAAGGCAGTTTAGAATATGCCTAGTAAGGTCTGAGTGATTTAACCTACCTGTTTGCCCATCAATCACACCTCAAAGCAAGTCAGTGGCCAGGATGGGTGCCACTGCAAGCGTGCAAAATCTAAATAACTAAACTTCCAAAGAAAGGAAGTTTCCTTCTCTCTCTCTCTCTCTCTCTCTCTCTCTCTCTCTCTCTCTCTCTCTATCTCTCTATCTCTCTATCTCTCTATCTTTATCATCTATTTCTCTTTCTCTCTTTCAGGTCCAGGGCACCTGACTCCTGTGAGTCCATAGCAGGGGCAAGCTCCCCTCTGCCCACATGGCTCTTGGCCATGTTGGACTCCACACATGGACTAATAGGCTTTAATCTGGCCTGAAGCTGAACCACACCCGGCTGCAACATGGAACGGAAGCTCTGGACACTGGCCTTGTTTCTGGCTCTGCTGAACTCCCAGCCACCCTTCCTTCCAAGACTGGCTTGGAGGAAATGAGACATTGGACTCAGAAAAATGTAGCTCAATGCAAATAAAATCTTCCACATGCCATCCTCCCGTGGGGGCTTCTGAAAATGCTTCTTTCAGCGGTGCGCCAAGAACCTCCACCTCACTCCCACGAGTGACCAGGGAGGTTAATTCTCTGGTAACACGACCACTGGGTGCTTCGGTGTTGCATACAAAGGTTTACATTGTCAAAAATGTGAAATTTGATAATAATTAAGAGAAGTGGTTATTCTCCGGTGAGTTAATGTGTAATGTACATATTGACGTCATAAGAGGGTAGTGTGTGCAAATTCTCCCAAAACAACTTAATCAGGGGCCTGGCAGGACAATAATAGGTTTCTCAATCAAGGGGTTTCTGAGAAAAGTTTAATAAAGGGGTTATCAGCAGAGACATGGACAGAATTAGGAAGATCAACAAGGCTTGATTTTCAACCCCAGAGTTGACCTTCAACCTAATGGGTTAAACTGGGAAAGGAGGCTCCCAGAATTGGAGAGCCAGAGCCACTAGAGAAGCAACAGAGAGCTGTGTAACAGAGGTCTTCGGTAGAGGATCATAGCTGATCTATGGAGCTCCTCCCAGAGCCAGGAAAACAAATACTCTATTCTTTTTCCACTCACCGAGCTCCTTCCAGGTCTCTCAAAGAGAAACCAGAGAGGTCAAGGGAACTTTGGGATGCAGTTCGTAAAGGGCAGCCTCTGGGGCACCACGTAGGGCAGGAAAGAATGGCGAGTGGATGGGAAAGGTCAGAAGGAAATATTTTACACATGACACAAAAATTTTTCCCCCGAATTTATCTAATATTTTGTTGGTTGTTCTTTTATACAATCCTTTTGTTTCTAAAGCCTGGACAGAGCTAACACTGAGGAATTAGAAGCGGCTAGGCAATTAGGGATGGGAACACGGGAGGTGCAGCTAGTACCAGTGATGGCGAACCTATGACACACGTGTCAGAGGTGAAGCGCGAACTCATTTTTTTGGTTGATTTTTCTTTGCTAAATGGCATTTAAATAGATAAAATAAATATCAAAAATATAAATCTTTGTTTTACTATGGTTGCAAATATCAAAACATTTCTATATGTGACACGGCACCAGAGTTAAGTTAGGGTTTTGCAAAATGCTAACACGCTGAGATCAAAAGGTTCATCATCACTGAGCTAGACCCTGCAGGTGGGAGCAGAAACCACACCCCATCCCATCTACTAGTAAAATCGCAAGAACAAAGGGTCCTGATCCCAGGCTAGACACACGGGGCCGGGAAAATAACCTGGAACCCTGCTTAAAATGTGTGGATATTGCTAGGGCAGAATTCTTTGAACCTACCAATGGGAAGTTAGCAGGGCACATATTAACCCCTAGACAAAGAAGCTTCAGCAGAAACTTGCTGAGGACCCCTCTCTGCTACAGAGAGCTTTGTTACTTTACCTTCTCTAATAAAACTTTGCATTCGCTCATCTCTTTGTCCATGAACTCATTCTTTGATTTTGAGAGACAACGAACTCAGACCCGAACAGGACATTTTGGCATCAATACTACCAGAGATTTGCCAAAGTAAACACACTTAAAGCACCATTTCTGGTGCCTCAATGGAGCTATTGGATGGATGGATAGATGGATGGATGGATGGATGGATGGATAGATGGATGGATGGATGGATGGATGGATGGATGGATAGATGGATGGATGGATGGAGGCAGTTGGCCATGCTACTGTTTTACAAACACATTTACATAATCCATATCTGAACATGAAGAGTCTCTCTTTACATGATAGCAGCCAATAGTAACTAATGAGGTAATCAATATTGTACTGATTTCTTGCAGTAAAGTAGCTACCCATCACCTCTGGGACTATCAATAATTTGAGTTTGGGGTTATGATGGTTATTTAAAGAAGTTGGGTAATGCAGTGGAGTGGCTTTTCTGTGACCCCTAAATTCCCTTCATTTTATAGTGTTTCTCAATCTTGGATGCATATTAGAACCACCTGGGGAACTTTGAAAATCCAGATGCTGCCCCTCTGCTTCTGGCATCAGCTGTGAGGAGTGCTTGCCGCCATCTTTGGTGGCCAGCCGGTAGGATGGCGCTGGGCAGACGCGGTCACAGTATGGACAGCGGACGGCCACAAAGGGTTCCATTGTCTCCTGAAATTTATCTCCAGAGGCGGGGGCTGGGAGTGTCCGGACTTTCCGCTTCGCCTGCGTTGCTCCCGCCCCCGCACCACAGAGATGCGAACCTCCGTTGTCCTAGCCCTCCCTCCCTCTTCCCCGAGTGAATGCTAGAGTGTCTCCTCGTCGTTTCCTGTCGACCTCTCTGGGGCGGAAAGGGAGCATTCGGGATAGCGGAAACTCAATAGCTGGGTGGCTTGTAGGTACCGGAAGTGTTGGGAGGGAGAACGGATGTGAGGGGGCGGAGCCAGGAAGTGGAGGGGCGGGGCTTATGAGGAGGCCCAGAGATCGTTGGGCGGCGATTTGCACTCAGGGCCACCTGAGGGGCTTGGCGCTAGCGGTCCTCTGTGTTCTCTCCCGTGGCAGAGACACGCTTGTCGTCTGGGCGAAGGGAACTGTCTGGAGAGTGGGTTGACGGAAGGACATTTCTCTACCCGCGCCTGAGGCAAGGTGTGAAGAGGCAGGACTGGGGGTGGGGCGGGGTCGTCAGGGTGTCTGAGAGGGAAAACCCTCGGCCCCCCACCTTTTACACCGGCTGAGTGGACACTAAGATGGCTGCCAGTTCCAAGGCACCCAACCCTGTGCAGAGCCTGCAGGAGGAGGCGGTGTGCGCCATCTGCCTCGATTACTTCACGGACCCCGTGTCCATCAGCTGCGGGCACAACTTCTGCCGAATGTGTGTGACCCAGCTGTGGGGAGGGGAAGATGAGGAAGGCCGGGTCGAGTTAGACCAGGAGGAGGAGGAGGAGGAGGAGGAGGAAAATGGAGGAGAAGAGGAGGAAGTGGAGGCTGCGGGGGCCGGTGCGGGCTCGGACACCCCCATGAGGGATGAAGACTATGAGGGCGACTTGGAGGAAGAGGTCGAGGAGGAGGAGGAAGGAGTGTTCGGGACCGGGAACATGGGCGGGCCCGACTGGGACAACATGGATGTGAGGGAGGAGGAGGAGGACGACGACGACCACAACGACGACCAGGGCCACGACGACCAGGGCCACGACGACGACGACCACAATGACGACCAGGGCCACGACGACGACGACCACAACGACGACCAGGGCCACGACGACGACGACCTGGGGGTGGAGGCTGAGGAGGCCGAAGAAGAAGTGCTGGAGGTGGATGAGGAAGAGGAGCTGGACCCGCTTCCAGACCCTCGGCAGCGCTTCACGTGCCCCCAGTGCCGGAAGAGCTTTCCCAGCAGGAACTTCCGCCCCAACCTGCAGCTGGCCAACATGGTGGAGGTGATTCGGAAGATGCACCCAGCACCAGGTTGGGGAAGCCATGGGAATGAGCAGGGCATTTGTCCCCAACACCAAGAGGCCCTGAAGCTCTTCTGTGAGGTGGACGGAGAGGTCATCTGTGGGCTGTGCCGAGAATCCAGGAGCCACAAGCAGCACAGCGTGGTGCCATTGGAGGAGGTGGTGCAGGAGTACAAGGCCAAACTGCAGGGGCATGTGGAACCTCTAAGGAAGCACCTGGAGGCTGTGCAGAAGATGAAAGCCAAGGAGGAAAGGCGGGTGACAGAGATGAAGAAGCAGATGAATTCAGAGCTGGCAGCTGTGGCCTCAGAGTTTGGACAGCTGGCAAAGTTTCTGACTGAAGAGGAGGCAAGGCTGGAGCAGCGCCTTCGAGAGATGCACGAAGCCCAGCTGGGCCAGGTGGAAGCAATGGCCAGTCTTCTGGCTGAGCGGGCCGCCCAGTTGAGCCGCCTGCTGAACAAGGCCCAGAAACAGAGCCAGCAGGGGGCCCTGCCGCTGCTCCAGGACATCAAGGAGACTTTCAATAGGTGTGAAGAGATACCGCGGGAGCCCCTAGAGATCTGGTCCCCTGACCCATGTCAACCCCACAGCCATGACTTCCTGACAGACAACATCATTAGGAAAATGAGCCGGATGTTCTGTCAGGCTGTTCGAGTGGACCTGACACTGGACCCCAACACGGCTCACCCGGCCCTGATGCTGTCTCCTGATCGCCGGCAGGTCCACCTGGCAGAACAGTGGCAGGAGGTTGCTGACTATTCCAAGTGTTTCTCCGCTGACTACTGTGTACTGGGGGCCCAGGGCTTCCGCTTTGGCTCGCACTACTGGGAGGTAGAGGTGGGTGGGAAGTGGGGCTGGGCCGTGGGTGCTGCCCGAGAATCATCTCATCATGAAGAGGTGGGCTCTGGGGATTCCTCTGTGGGCACCTGGGATGCCAGTTCTTTCTCTGGCCATCACCGCCGCCTCCACCTACCCCAGCAGCCCCTGCCCCAGAGGGAAGTGTGGTGTGTGGGCACCAGTGGCAACGGTTACCAGGCACAGAGTTCGAGGGAGCAGACGCTGCTGTGCCCACATGAGAAACCACGGCGCTTTGGTGTGTACCTGGACTATGAGGCTGGGCGCCTGGACTTCTACAATGCAGACACTCTGGCCCATGTGCACACCTTTTCAGCTGTCTTTCTGGGTGAGCGTGTCTTCCCTTTCTTCCGGGTGTTCTCTAAGGGTACCCAAATCAAGCTGTGCCCTTGATCAGCTTACCACCTGCTGGGGCCCCTCTGATCAGCACTGGCGGGGCGAGTGGTGGTGGAGGGTGGTCCAAGTTTTGGGGCTAAAAGGCTCCCAAAATTTTCTGCATTGCTTCCTGCTCTTCCTTGACCCCAATTTTCCCCGTAGGAGCTTAAGGAACCTTTCTGGCCTCCAGCTCTGCCTCATCTGCATGGGTCCCTGATAACAGCTGCCTAGTCTTCCCTTCCTGTCCACCCAGGGACCGAGTTTGAGTAGGGGAGGGAATATTTAACTTTATTAACTTCCCTTTACCCATCCCTGCTTTTCAACCTTCATACCAGTCCCCAGGCTGGAGGATTTGGGCAGGACTCACGACTCTCCCCATTCCAATTCCATTTTCTGGTGGAAGTTATAGCTATGGAATTTGGAGGATTTTTGAGGGGAGGCAGGCTGGGCAAAAGGGAGAGCTGGATAATAACATCTCCTCTAGGGAAGGAAGGATTCCAAACTTTCTTCTATCCCAATTTCTACCTCCACAGACTGGCCAGAATTTAGTTTCAGTGAGATCCAGAGTGGTTGACATGATTGAAACCACATACCATTATATCCCCCCCAGTAAATTATTTTCTCACCCCTTTCCCCAGCAAACCACACCCTACCCTTTTCACTGCCAGACTCTTTTCCCCTTTGTTCACTGGAGTTTCATGTTTCCATCCTCTCATGTCTTCAGTTTCATTTGATGAGCTCTGATGGGGAGCAGGGTTTAGGTCCCTAGGAGAGCCTTGGGTATAATCCAGTAATGGCGAACCTATGACACGCGCGTCAGAGGTGACACGCAAACTCATTTTTTTTTGGTTGATTTTTCTTTTTCTTTTTTTTTTAAAAATATATTTTATTGATTTTTCACAGAAGAAGAGAGAGGGATAGAGAGGTAGAAACATCGATGAGAGAGAAACATCGATCAGCTGCCTCTTGCACATCTCCCACTGGGGATGTGCCTGCAACCAAGGCACATGCCCCTGGCCGGAATTGAACCTGGGACCTTTCAGTCCACAGGCCAACGCTCTATCCACTGAGCCAAACCGGTCAGGGTGGTTGATTTTTCTTTCTTAAATGGCATTTAAATATATAAAATAAATATCAAAAATATAAGTCTTTGTTTTACTATGGTTGCAAATATCAAAAAATTCCTATATGTGACACGGCACCAGAGTTAAGTTAGGGTTTTTCAAAATGCTTACACGCTGAGCTCAAAAGGTTCGCCATCACTGGTATAATCTATTTTTCTAATTACCCTTTGCCGTGTGTCATTTATCAGCTTTTGCCCTGTGCTTTGATGGCCCAGGTCAATTTATGTTCCTGGGGGAAAGGGAAGTTGGATTGTGGAAATAAAAAAAAAAGTTTTATTTGGAAAAAATAAGAAAATCCAGATGCTGGTACTACAAACCTCTTAAGTCAGAATCTCTGGAATAAGACCCAGGCATAAGTATTTGTAAGAGCTCCAATGTAGCCAAGTTTGAGACATACTCCTGTAAAACTCACACTAATTCTGATTGTCTACTGATTTAAACTTCTTAAAGGAAATGATATACTACTTTGCTGATAATTTTATATGAAATAGAGGTTATAGAATTTATTGCATTTGGGACCTGGGAAAATCATAATTATATAAGGAATAAAAAATTCTTATAAAATAACCTGTGATAGTCCAGGTAACTTGCATATTTTACATTTAATTTCAGAGTCCTTATCAGTATTCAAAGGAGCATAGAACTTTTAGAAATGCTTCAGTGAAGAACAGTTTATACTCTGTCCCTAATAAATGCAAGTGTTCATTTCCTCTCAGACAAGTCAGTAATAGACAACTATTTTCTGTCAACTGGACTGTATCCACCTATTTATTTCTCACAGCTCATTGGGCATCATTAGGAATGTAACAGGTTTTAGCTACTACCTATTCCAGTTTCTGTAGAATTAATTAATTACATGAGACTTTAAAAAATTATTAAGGCTGTTTTATATTTTGAATTGTACTTGGCTATTTAAAAAACGGGTAGGCAGAATTGTATTTTTGGTCTGTACTCAGTCAACCCAATTTCTATTATATTTAAAACTAGAACATTTTTCTATATGTAGAATATAGCTACTGTGCAAGCCACAAATCAAATAATAATATACTTCTTAAAAGGTTCAATTTTTTAAATTCTTTATTAGTTAAGGTATTACAAATGTAAAAGGTTCAATTTTTTGATACTTACAAAAATAAATGATAGAAATAAAGTTTGAAATGATTGGTTAAGAAATGTACCACACTTAAGAGAAGAGGATATAACCTCTGGCAAAATCTGAAAATACTGATGTTAAAAATATTCAATAAAAAGCCAATGGTTATTAAAGAGCAGAGAAAGCATAGTTGCCATGTGCCTAGCACAGAGGTGTCAGGTTATGGGTGATTTCATATTTTTCATACTGTATAAAATGAATGTATATATTTATGATCACAAATGGAAATAGGCAGTTCACTTACAGGTATCTGTGTTGGAAAAACCTTTGCTACTTCATTAATATTTATCTCCCTCTGTTTAAATTGTGTACTAACCAAATAAACTTCCAGTTATAACTTAGCTTCCTGATTAGATGGCTTGATGTATGTGTGTGTGCATGTATTGGGGGTGGTTATCTATTGATATGCAGTACAGAAATTTGAACTAGTAGGCAGTCAGTCATGTTTTTCATTGTCCATCACCACATTGACACTTGGGTGATACATCCATAAATCTCTGGGATGTTTGATTAGCATGAATCAGTCTGTGGTCATCCCTGGAATGCATAGTGGCAAAGCCAAGAAGTTTAGTAGGGAATACGATGATCCACCTGAGGTTTTGTCAATTTGTCTCCTGAAGATTGTGAAGGCTAAATTTTCTATTACTTTTGGAGATTCTGAAGCATATATATATAGTAAGGGTCCTGAGAAGGTCCAGAAAAGTTGGTTCATTTTAGTGATCACAGCATTTCACATAATTTTTTTTTCTTTTCTCTTTTTTTTTTATTAAAGTATTACAAAGGGTATTACATATGTGTCCTTTTTTTCCCCCCGCCCTTGACAGTCCCCTAGCCTCCCCTATCCCCCAGTGTCTTATGTCCATTGGTTATGCTTATATGCATGCATAAAAGTCCTTTGGTTGATCTCTTACCCCCCTCCCTCCTGCCCCCCAACCCTCCCCGGCCTTCCCACTGCAGTTTGACAATCTGTTTGAGGCAGCTCTGCCTCTGTATCTATTATTGTTCAAAAGTTTATAATGGTCTCTATTATCCATGAATGAGTGAGATCATGTGGTATTTTTCCTTCATTGACTGGCTTATTTCACTTAGCATAATGCTCTCATAAAATTTTGATACTTCAAAAGAGCTGGCTTTATGGGCATGTGACCTGTGTTGTCATATAGGGCCCTGTATTCAGAAGAGCATTGCTCTTGGTTCAGTGCAATTCTTCAGCCTGATAGAACCAGTCAGAACTCCAGCTCATCCCTCACTCTCAGAGTTTGGGACATAGGAGAGAAATCCTGCAGGATGATGCCAGGAATAGCACCGTGTTTCTTCATAGACCTATCCATCTTTGATATGTATAATATTTGGAGACAAGGCTATGATGTTTGGAACTTATTTTTAAAATGTAGAAATTACTAATAGAAGGTCTAAGAAGTGAGGGGCAACTGGGTATAGCCTTCCTTGCAAGTTTTGTCAGGTCTAAGTATTTTTGCTGTATCAAGATGAGACAATCTAGTCCTGCTAACAGGGTTGTCATATAAGTCTTTGAAAACTCATTTATCCCTCACATACTAGTGAAATGCTTAACATCTGCTGGGGATAGAGACACCAATGGGGAACACTCGTGCTGGTAAATCCCCACACCTGGAAGGGAAAGGAGGTTAATGCTCAGGAGCGACCCGGGTCCATGGGAGATAGGCCTGTGGATAAAGATCCCCTTCTCCTGGGTCCCATGTGGGCCATTTGGGGTGGATCTTCTGCAGACCCTCAGGTGGGCACCTGGGGCAGTTGGGCTGCCTTTGCTAAAAGGAAGAACTTTCTACAGTGAACCACACAAGCTGTCGCCTCACCTCGGGATCTGTACTTGGAGGGGGCTGAAGCTAAGACCACACATCTGCAGCTGTTCAGAAAAGCTGGAACAGGGAAAACACATAACTGAAATGTAAGCACCATCAAAGGACGCTAACAGACACAAAGCAGGAACAGCTTGTCCCAAAAACATCTGAGTAAACTGCCACTACCTCCCGACGCAAACTTGAACAACCAAAATTATTCCCTTAATGACTGATCCACCTGTTCAAGGGCAGAATTCTCCGACTTACGCAGACCTGGACCTCATAGATCAAAGTCCTTTGGACTGACCTTATCTTACCTTGGCCCAAAGGAGGGACTGTTAATGTGAAAAACAGCCTTGCTGGCAGCTAGACTGTGCTGTTCCCAACCAAACATAAATAGCATTCATGAGAAATAATGTCCAGAGAAGGCCACCCTATGTCTGGAACTAGGCAGAGATAAGACCAGGTCTCAAAAAAGAAAATCATTAAACAGTCCATCCCCTCTCTTGACTAAGAAAACTTAGTTTAGTTCCTCTACCAATGACAATTCTAGCCCCTTCTTAACCCTTCCACCTCTTTTTAAAAATATATATTTTTATTGATTTCAGAGAGGAAGGGAGAGGGAGAGAGGGATAGAAACATCAATGATGAGAGAGAATCATCTATCAGCTGCCTCCTGCACCTTGCCCCCCCCCCCCTACTGGGGATTGAGCTCACAACCCTGGCATGTGCCCTGACTGGGAATCGAATTGTGGCCTCCTGGTTCATAGGTCGATGTTCAACCACTGGGCAACGCACGCCGGGCAGCCTCCCATCTCTTAAAAAAATTAAAATACCCAATACAATATTGCCTCTGCCTGTTGCAACATGCAATTCAGAATTTACTTCTGCTTCCAAAAACCCTCTTTAGAATCCCTCAACAACTGCCTAAATCCTGTAATAACCACACCTATCCTCACTCTCTTTTACTGAAATGCCCCATGGCTCCCACAGAATGAATTCTTACTTGATGCAGCAAGCTAAATGAAGCTATGAGGTTTCTTTGTTTTGGGTGTATGAGTGTGTGTGTGTGTGGGGGGGGACTAATAGGTGTATCCTGGTAATATTTGGTTAGTAGACATTGACACTGGCCTC